TAATGATAATAATAATAATAATAAAAATAACAATAATAATCATAATAATAATAATAATAATAATAATAATAATAATGATAATAATAATAATAATAATAATAATGATAATAATAATAGTAATAATAATAATAATGATAATAATGATAATGATAATAATAATAATAACACCAACAATGATAATGATAATAACAACAACAATACTAATAATGACAATAAAGATAATTATAGTAATGATGATATTAATGATAATAATAGCGATAATATTTTTTCATTGATTATAATAATAATAATAATAAGGAAAATGATAATGATAATAATAATAATAATGATAATAATAATAATAATAATAATAATAATAATAATAAATAATGATAATAATAAAGATAATAAGGATAATAAGGTTAAAGATAATAATGATAACAATGATAATAATGATAATGATAACAATGATAAAAATGATAATGATAATAATAATAATAATAATGGTAATAATAAAGATAATGACAGTGTTAAAGAAATGACCTTAATTATAATGATAATAGTGATAATTATAATAAGAAGACAAAAAAGAAAAAGAGGAAAGGGAGGAGGAATTGTTATCATTATTACTATCATTATTAATGTTATTGCTGTTATTATTGTTATTTGTATTATCATTATTATCTTCTTTATTATTACTGCTATTGTTGTTTCTGATATCATAATCGTCATCATTATTATTATTTCCTTTGTGATTACCATTGCTGTTATCATCATCATTATCACCATTATCATTTCTATATTTATTTCTGTTATTATTATTGCTGCTGCTGTGGTTATTATTATCACTGCTATCAACTTCATTATCTCTATCTATATAATCATTGTTTTTAGTAACATTCTTGTCACTATCATTTTTGTTATTGTATTTATCAATATCATTATCCTTATTATCGTTACTATCATCATTAATATTTTCGTTATCATTACTATTTTCATTATCATTATTATTACCATTATCATTATTGATTTTTGTAAGTATTAGTATTGCTATTATTATTATCACATTATTTTTACAAACAACTGTTATTATTTCAATTTAATCTGCGTCATCGGTATTATAATTGGCATTGTGATGTTGATTATATTTTTCACATATTTGTGTTGCTAATGTTTGAAATACAAATATAAAGCAACGTATTCGGGTATTTTTTTCCAAGATAAAGGCAAATATGTGGGTAAGACAAAAATCAAATATTGTTTTATATCAACTTTGTATTTCATCTGCACAAGACTAGTTATACAGATGTGGAAACATTAATAACAACAAAAGAGGTATTTTGGTATGATTCTAAACAAACAACTGAGAATAAATACAACGATCAACAATATAAATACAATAAATTATCCGTATAAAAGATCGAAAATGAAATGAGAAGTCATGAGCCTTAATCAGCTCAGGTAAGGTCTAATGTTTCTAGTCTAGTGTCTAGTGTTTGGTCTAGAATACAGTATGTACAGTGGGGTCGCTCGCCTTCCGTCCTGGACGACTGAAGGCAGAACTGAGGAGCTGAGGTGCCACTCTCCGGGGACTGAGGCATGTCAGGAGGCCGGGAGGGAGAGGTGAGGGGGGGGGATACCCGAAAGCCTGTTTTTCGTTTTCCGTTAAAAAAAAGGAAATTAAATAGAAAACGATATCCATGAAAGTCAAGGTGGGACTGGGAAATAGGCTAGGATCCTCATCTGGGGGGGGGGGGGAGGTCAGCACCAAGGCATAAGACATGCCCAAGAGATCATGTCACGCCAGTCTGAGTATAAAAGGTCCTTATTCAAAGTCTTTGGTCTACGACCTATCACAGGTCAAGTCATGTCATGTTGCAGGGCCATCGGGTCCCTTTGGCTTCTCTGGTCAGCAAAGGTGGAGTCGTCGACCTTTGAGTTTCATTTACTCGTACTTCTTGTAGGCCTCAGTGAGGGCGGTGAGCACGGGGGAGAGGAGGTTGAGGGACCTGGGGGGAGGGAGAAGAGATAAATAAGTTGAGAAAATCATTAAAGACAAAAAACAGGCGCCTGAAACATGAATAAACAATCATCAACAATAACTCTTTCACATCTCGCAGTACTATAGCGCATTAAATCCTCCCAAACAAGCCCCAAGCTTACCTCTGGGCGTAGCTGGTGTAGGAGGAGTATCCCTGGGTGTTGTCGTAGGCGTAGTTGGGGTAGTCGTAGCTCTCCTTGCCGGCGAAGAGCTTGGCGAGGTCGAAGCCGAGGAGGGGGACGAGGACGAGGGCGAGGATCAGGAGGATGACCCCGACGACCACGACGGTCTGCAGGGAGGTCGAGTTGAAGGACAAGGTGGCGCCGCTGTTGTCGAGGGAGAGGAAGCCGAAGCGAGCGGTTTCCTCGAGGCTGTTGTCGTCCTCGGCGCGGGCGACGGCGAACAGGCACAGGAGGGCGATGGCGACGAAGCACTTCATTTTGGCTGAGGGGGGAGAAGGGGGGAGGGGGGTTAGACGACACGAAATTATAAAGACAAAGGAGGTGTAAATGAGGGTTAACCATAGTTGTTATAATAGTAAAAATAATGGTAAGAGTAATAGGGTGGATGATAGTAACACTAACGATAAATATCAGAATAAAAAGTTAACCTCAAGCAGGTCGAGTCACGCCTAAGATTAGCCACATGCACGTCAATGCACGCCCGCACCGCATAGAACCGAAGCAGACAATTAAGGCGTCTCGTAACAGCAGCGGAGCGAGTTAAGCGAGTTAATATCCCCGGTCCACAAGCGTTACCACACCGATCGCACGGACTCGCCTCCTCACCGCAACCCCCCCCCCCCCCCCGCCTCTGCACGCACTAACCTGGCGAGTTATGGTCCACATTCGAGTAACTCCAGGCTGTTATTCTTGCAACCGGCGTTGGAAATTCATTATATCTGTTGTTACCTTATTTGCATTTTAATGACTAACTGAAGTGTTGGATTCTGATAGAGACTCAACAAGATTTTATTTTCAATGATTATTATCTTTTTATGAATCTAAAAAAAAACAGTTTAAGAAGTATATCAGCATGGCAACAAGCTACCAAGAGAATTCCTGAGACCAACCCACGAAAAAAAAGAAAGAAAACCTATCATTTTCTGAACAATCATCACACTTATATGCATTGACGTCGGATTTTCTCTCACAAACGAAATTGCCATAGTATCTCGGAAGAATTCAGGCCAGTATTGTATGGCATCATCCTTGGCACCTACCACAAAGATACCAATGGTTTTCTATATGAAAGAAACTATATTCGTAAGCCATGTACGATAGTTATTGCGTCATTGCGTCAGCCGTATTCTAGTTTTTATGAATGACTTTCAAAATGCAGACGTAACTGTCTTGAATTGGGGAAAGGAGTGGTGTTCTATATGGGTTGTAGAGTACACTTTGAAGTTGTTGGGAGGGAGGGGGAAGTTGCGAATGGGGTAAGCATTGTCTTGTTTACCGTTAGAAAGAAAACCGCAAAACAACAGTACGTCTAATTTGCCCTAAATAAAAAAAAAACAATAATTGATATAGATGTGCATAAAAAAAACACCTAACATCTCCCTCACTTCTTTTTGATATCATACCCGCGTTCTTGAGTGAATTTCGGCCCATTTTTCTCTGACATTAGCTTCACAATCGAACGCGGCTCCGGAAGAATTACCTGCATCCGTGTCAAGTCGGAATCTCACGTGCTACAAATCCACGAACGATTAGTCTTGGCACACTTCTATGTATGTTGCAGATTCGAAACGAAATCTCAAGACCGACTTCCTAGATATCAATATTTTTTTTCATTGATATTACTGAATGACTGTAGTGTACTAGTTATCTGTATATCAGCTCTTGCGAGAAAATGCAAACTAACTATGCACTTACTATGAATCTTTATCCATGAACATTTAAATCTAAAAACGCGATTGTTACTTACATGATATATTAAAAACGATGAACAATATTTTTCTTCAGTGTTAATTTACTTCCACACAGATGTCAATACACGAGCGCCGTGAAAGAGCACCTTCTCTCGTTCGCGTCACAGACCACACTGATGGACTCCAACACCATCCCGCTTCGATATAGTCTCTGAGCTCGTAACTCCATTCTCCAAATTTATAACTATTGAACAAAACTTAAATGCGAATAAGGAAGCTACGTTGAGGTGAGATCACGAACGAAAGAATTTGAATAAAGAGTTTTTATATCAGGGAAAACATATACCCGTTCTTATTTTGTGAGTAATTGAACTGAAATGCGTAGTATTCGTATTCATTAATAATTTCCACTTTTTTGATAAATGCGAAATAACCGCGTAAGAACCCTAAGTGTTTAAGATAAAAAACCTGCTTAATACGAATTCACGGCGAATTAAATAAACGTCAGTTCTTCATCATGCATCTTGTGCTCACCAACTTAATTAGGTGCAATTAAGCCCGCCACCTGACTTCAAACAAAATTATAGCTTTCAGAAATCCGCGGAGAGGAAAAAATGCTAACGGTAAATTATGAGCATGTTATAGATTAACTGTAAATTCTTTTGCTATTTACAACCAATGAATACAATAGAGAACTGTAGAAGAACAGTCAAGTGTCGTACCTGACGAAGCATTTAGTATGACCCGGATCTATTGTCGCCAAAGGTCGGGAAAGAGCGTGTGACTTGAACCATATCGAGATCACTATGATTATTATCAAGATTATGATATTCAGCGCCAATTTCCCTTAATACTAAGTCTGGATTTCCCTTTCGCGGTAAATCTCACGTAGTTCAAACTCTTAAAGAAAAATAAAAAAACAAAAAAAACAATAATACGAACAGCGGAAAATCCCGTCAAATAGAGAAATTAAACCATCGAAAGTTATATCGCTTGAAAAAAAAAAAAAAACTTCAAAAAAAAAGAGAAAATTTATACTTTAATTCCCTTCCCCCATAATAAAAACCACAAACAACAGGAAGAAAGTAAGAATCAACCCCAACGCCGGAGACAATCTCTAAGAAAAGGAAAAGCAGGTGGACCAGTAACCCACATCATGGAATTAATTGAAAAAAAAGAAGAAAAAAAAGGGAAGGGACACTGGCTATCGTCAAGCCCAGGCAAGTGTGACCGCAACGCCAAATGACGGTAATAAACCGTTACTTTCAAGGCGACGACGAGAGAGAGAGAGAGACAGGGGAGAGGGGGGTACTGGAGGGGGAAGTATAGACAGGTGGTGCTCTTATTACCGGTGGAAGGGGAGAGAAGAGAGAAGAGAGAGAGAGAGAGAGAGAGAGAGAGAGAGAGAGAGAGAGAGAGAGAGAGAGAGAGAGAGAGAGAGAGAGAGAGAGAGAGAGAGAGAAAAAGAAAAAAAGAGAGAGAAAGGGGGTGAGGGGAGGGGAGAATGAGAGAAAGAGAGAGAGAGAGAGAGAAGAGAGAGAGAGAGAGAGAAAGGAGAGAGAGAAAGGGGGTGAGGGGAGGGGAGAATGAGAGAAAGAGAGAGAGAGAGAGAAAGGGGGTGAGGGGAGGGGAGAATGAGAGAAAGAGAGAGAGAGAGAGAGAAGAGAGAGAGAGAGAAAGGGGGTGAGGGGAGGGGAGAATGAGAGAAAGAGAGAGAGAGAGAGAGAAGAGAGAGAGAGAGAAGAGAGAGAGAGAGAGAGAGAAAGGAGAGAGAGAGAGAGAAAGGAGAGAGAGAGAAAGGAGAGAGAGAAAGGGGGTGAGGGGAGGGGAGAATGAGAGAAAGAGAGAGAGAGAGAGAAAGGAGAGAGAGAGAGAGAGAAGAGAGAGAGAGAGAAGAGAGAGAGAGAGAAAGGAGAGAGAGAAAGGGGGTGAGGGGAGGGGAGAATGAGAGAAAGAGAGAGAGAGAGAAAGGGGGTGAGGGGAGGGGAGAATGAGAGAAAGAGAGAGAGAGAGAAGAGAGAGAGAGAGAAGAGAGAGAGAGAGAAAGGAGAGAGAGAAAGGGGGTGAGGGGAGGGGAGAATGAGAGAAAGAGAGAGAGAGAGAAAGGAGAGAGAGAAAGGGGGTGAGGGGAGGGGAGAATGAGAGAAAGAGAGAGAGAGAGAGAGAGAGAAAGGAGAGAGAGAAAGGGGGTGAGGGGAGGGGAGAATGAGAGAAAGAGAGAGAGAGAGAGAAAGGGGGTGAGGGGAGGGGAGAATGAGAGAAAGAGAGAGAGAGAGAAAGGAGAGAGAGAAAGGGGGTGAGGGGAGGGGAGAATGAGAGAAAGAGAGAGAGAGAGAAAGGAGAGAGAGAAAGGGGGTGAGGGGAGGGGAGAATGAGAGAAAGAGAGAGAGAGAGAAGAGAGAGAGAGAGAAAGGAGAGAGAGAAAGGGGGTGAGGGGAGGGGAGAATGAGAGAAAGAGAGAGAGAGAGAAGAGAGAGAGAGAGAGAAAGGAGAGAGAGAAAGGGGGTGAGGGGAGGGGAGAATGAGAGAAAGAGAGAGAGAGAGAGAGAGAGAGAGAGAGAGAGAAAGGAGAGAGAGAAAGGGGGTGAGGGGAGGGGAGAATGAGAGAAAGAGAGAGAGAGAGAAAGGGGGTGAGGGGAGGGGAGAATGAGAGAAAGAGAGAGAGAGAGAGAAAGGAGAGAGAGAAAGGGGGTGAGGGGAGGGGAGAATGAGAGAAAGAGAGAGAGAGAGAGAGAAAGGAGAGAGAGAAAGGGGGTGAGGGGAGGGGAGAATGAGAGACACGCAAGCTCTATTGATTTTAGAAGGAAATTATGATAATAACCTGAAATCCTGTTATTCCCACCCGTTTTGGACATACATCCGTCGACTATGAAAATTGAAAAATTATGTATGCAGCTCAGGAGGATTTTTTTCCCCTTGTGGACGAGTTAATGACAGTGGGATGGAAAAAAACATCCTTGTTGTCCTTACAGTAGATCATATCGGAGGGAATTCATTAGTGACGGTCTGTGAAGGAGGCGACTTTAACGAGCAGAAAGTAGTGATCCGTGGCGTGTATGTTTGTAGGTGTGTGTGTGCGTATGTATACTTTTGCGTTAGTGTCTGTATATGAATTTCTTCTGTGAATCAAACGCGACAGACAAAACTGCTGGACAAAAACTGCTTTGTAATATTCGCTCTTTGTGTTTATGAGATGTTGAAGTATTGTTCATAATGTTTGAAACTGTGAATGCCATCTGTTCCCTTGTTCACGAATCTCTAATCTGGCTAAAGAATTTTTTGAAAGTTCTTCCTCGAAGTGGAATTTATTTTACCATACATCATGCCACCATAACTAATATTAACTTTTAAGAACAACACAATCTCATTATACGTCAGAAAATGAATCGCATTTTTCCTCGGGAACAAGTAACAGTCACAGAATCACTAATTACTCTTCACAGACTTGTCACTTCACTTCTTTATCACATCACTATAGAGCAAAGTCGGCAAAGTCACCGAAAGCACGACGCTCGGCTGCCGGAGAGGGCGAGGAGTGGTGTCTCTCACCTTGGGTAATGGAGTTTTGGAGTAAGCTGCTGCTGGAGCTGTTGTTGCTGCTTGTGAG